CTCCAGGTCGAAAATGACCCATCCACCACCACTCTCTGGGTGCAGCCCTCCAGCCACTTGGCGACCCATTTGACTGTGTGGGTGTCGACACCACAGTCTGCCAGTTTCTTAATGAGAACGGGGTGAGAGACAATGTTGAAGGCCTTCCAAAAGTCCAGGAAGACTATGTCCACTGCTACCCCTGCATCTAAGGATTTGGTGACCTGGTTGTAGAAGGCCACCAAGTTGTTCTGACAGGACCTGCCACTAATGAACCCATGTTGATTGCCCCTAAGCATAATCTCCCCTGCTGGCCCCTCGTGGACATGTGCCAGAAAAATTCTCTCAAAAAGCTTGCCCAGGATCGAGGTAAGACTAACCGGCCTCTAGTTTCCCAGGTCCTCCTCCTTCCCCTTTTTGAAGATGGGAACCACATTGGCCCTCTTCCAGTCCTCTGGCACCACACCAGAGCACCACAAGTGCTCGTAAAGCTGTGCCAGGGGTCCCGCAATGACCTCAGCTAATTTCCTCGGCACTCTGGGGTGGAGATCGTCCGGACCAGCTGATTTATATACATCCAGTCCCTCCAGAAGTTCCCTGACTAGATCCTCCCTGACCCTTGGCCTAGGTGCACGTTCCCTAGTGTTTAAGGGGGGCCCAGAGGTGGGGTGACTGTTCCGGTCCCTGCTCAGGAAAATGGAGGCAAAGAAATTATTAAATATGTTAGCTTTGTCATCTGGTGTGATGACCAAATTTCCACATTTTCTCTGAACAGCAAGAAGTGCTGGAGACTCCACACATTTCTTTGCAGACTTCTTTCTTTCTATATATATTGGCTGCTTGCAGACATGAAAAAACAAAAACAAAACATGCTTTACTAGAAGAAGTAATGTGTTACTTTAACCCAGCCGCACAGCGTGTGTATAGAACAGGCGCTTCACCAGGACTTTTTGGCGCTTTTATCTAATGGCTGATTGAATTAGCTATTAGATAAAAGCACTAAAGAAGCCTCACTGAAGCAACCAATCTATACAGACATTGGGTGAGCCACGTCCAACTAAAGCACTGCCTCTTCTAGGCATGTAATGGGCTTGGCGCAAGAACACACCAGGTTTGAAGTAAAGGATCATTTTGGGGTTTTTTTTTAATTTTAATGTCTGCAAGCAGCATTTTGTGCTAAATGATTGGTTGTGATCAATGTCAATTTGAAATCCTGAGAAAGATGACTGACCTGCTGGAGTGGCATGTCTACCTTCATTAGTAGTAGCGTTTTTGTTTTTTTAATTTCACTTCATTCATGTAAATCTTCCTGTAGTTGTCTGATCCAGGGGTGCTTATAGTAAGCTACAGCTGTAACAAATAATCAGTTTGATCTTTTCTTTCTGCCTGCCTTTTAAAAATGAGCCTCCTGGAAGTGTAGAATGAATCTGACTTAATTTTGGAGAGCGCTGCTTTTCCTCCCCTACTTCTAAAAGTGACCCTTTGCCCTATTTTTGAAGTCTCTTTCAGCAGAAAAGGAACCACAGGACAGCAGCAGTAATTACTCAGATGACCCCTGGAGGATAACTGAAGAACAGCGAGACTATTATCTTAACCAGTTCAAAACCCTCCAGCCTGACCTGAACTCCTTCATTTCAGGTAACATTAACCACGTAATAGCTACATGTAGCAGAAAGATCAGTCTGAAAGACATAAAAGGTACAGTAGAAAAAGTGAAATCTCATTCATTTTTCTTTGGATCAGATTTATAACCTATAGAATTGATGTCATGAAACACGTCCTGTATAAAGGGAAGATCTGCCTTGGGATTCCCCAAGAAGTCTTATTTGGTCTCCCTCTCCTGAAGGATCATATGGTATGGTCTCTCAAGGGGCAAGCCTCTGGCTCAAGGACCTGGCTCTTCTATGACCCTGGCTTCTGCTATAGCAGTTCCACCCCAGTCAGCTCCTTGGAAGTTGGGTATTTTCCACTTCCAGATGGTGGAGGTTCAGCGTGCAGATATCTAAAATAGCACAGCCCACAGCTCCACTCCAAACAGAGTCTTTATGGTGCCGTTGCAGTTCCATCTGTCCTCCCTGGGACTACCTTTTCTCTGCCTCCAGCTCTCTCAGCCTTACTCTTTCTGATACACAGACAGCCACAGACGCAACAAAACTGTTACATAACCACAGTATTTACCCAGAAACTGCAATATTAACCCAGACTGCAATCTGCCTCTGGGGTGAAAAGGGGACATAGGTCTCCTGTGTATGAAGCTATTCAGGAACATTTCATAGTAAAGCATGCTGTCACTGAGCATCCCAAAATGCTCCCCACGAGAAGCGCAGGATAGAATTCAGCCACTCACCTTGTTTGGTCACAGTTGATTACTTCTTTTTAATAAATAGAGCAACTAAAGTATACAGCGAATAACATCTTTTCTGTGAAAATTTTTGTTGTTGCTCTTTAAATCATGTTTCACCTCTTAAGGTTCACTCTGTAAAAATAAGGTAGAGTTTATTGTCTCTTGGTTATTTTAATAACAGATGTTCTTCGCTTACAGATAAAATTATTTTTTCTTTTAATTGCCAGCTGTGCAAAACCCATTCTGGAATCTGATAATCAAGCAAGGTTAATTCTTCCTTGTGTATCATTACCAGAAATAAATGTTCTGTGGACTAAGTACTGCCCTAACTTACACTTCTGCAACTTAAATGTCTTTAATAAGCTGACACAAATGTAATTACTTGGAACTTAAAAATGCAAAAGCAATTGGGAGAATTAGAGTCTAGCTGCTTTTCTCCTAGATGTGCAGAAAGATGTGTGTTCATCCCTAAAGTTGGAAGATATAAATTCTAGGAATACACCTGTTGACGGAGAAGATAGTTTTACATGCTCTCTTCTGAAAATAGAAACATACTCTAAATATTCAATGGGGATTTCAGGAAAATACATGCCTTCGTAGGGCACAATTTTACTCTCAAATAAAAATAATTAGAGTAAGCTGTCTGAATATAAAGGCAGTGTTTGGAACTGCATCCTGTAAAGTGTTGTGTTTTGTTCTTGTCTAGAAGAAAATGAAGCATATGCTTAACTTCCCCATTAAAGTCAATGGGGCTGTGCATGGGGTTAAAGTAAAGCACATATTGAACTGTTTTGCAGAGACAGGCTGCAGTGCCCATAGCACTGCGAGGTTGAGCAGTTGGTCTTTAAGGTTGGGACTATACTCCTTTCTCCCCACACTTCCACTCCACATGTGAAAAACACAGAAATGAGGTAGTGAAGCTGCCCCTAGAGCTCCCCTGCCACTGCTCTGTAACCTGACAGACAAAGAGAGCTTGAGAGCAACAGAGATGGAGGGGGGGGATTGGTGTGTGCCCCCCCGGGGTAACCTCCCTGCTTTGTTTCTGACTGGTGCAAACAGAGCATAAATAGGTTTCTGTGGGTGTACTTCTCAGTGGTGCTCTCAGGCATGTTATGGAAGTGGTATAGACGTACCTAATGGTTAAATGTAAATCCTATAGAGTACATATGTGGTAAAAGTAGTGTAAGAGCTCACAGAAATCACATTGTCACACCAAATGCACAGATCCAACCTTTTGTAAAAGGAATTGTTATCAGTACTAAAAGTTTGGCTGGTAAGGAGGAGCCACCCATTTTGACTAAAGGCGATTTGACTTGTTCCTCTGAGGCACTTACTCTTGCACTGCATTTCAGATTCGGAGGTTCTCCAGCCAGGCTCAGTGGCAGGGAAAGTCACTATGGAAGTAATCCAGGAGAAAAGCACTGCTAGCACCCCATGCAAAGCCCTTTGCTTCCCCATGTACTTGGTGCTTACATACAGCCAGCTTATCTTTGAGAAGAAAACCATGCATTTCAATTTTCCTTTTTTTGCATGCATGCGTAATGGTGGTGAGGATCGCTAGTCATATAGAAGCATGTTTTCATCTATTAATTTTTCCCTTGTTGGGAGGAGAAATGGAATGAGGTCAGTAGTTCTGCCTGACTTTCCCAGATTACTTACTTGCCAGGAGACAAAGGGCCAACTATATTGGTACCCAGTGATCTGAGTGGCTGTTGATTTATGAACTAACTAGCTGCTGTGGCAGCTTTGAACCAGATAGTGTTTGTTCAGCTCCGTTAGTTAGAGCATGGTGCTAATAATACCAAGATTGCAGGTTCCTTCCCCAGTTGGGTTAGATGATCTCTTGAGGTCCCTTCCAGCGTTACTTCTCTGTAAAACTAAACCTAAGAAAAAATGGATATGGGTAGATGAATACTGAATGCTCATTTCATTGCTTATTAAGGAATGGTTCTTGACAGGTACTGTGGCTAAGAATTTCTTCACAAAATCGAAGCTTCCTATTCCAGAGCTTTCTCACATATGGTGAGTACAGTAACATAACTGTGTGTGTGGGTGGGGGTGTGGGGGTGTGTGTGTGTGTGTGTGGGTGTGTGGGTGTGTGTGTGTGTGTGTGGGTGTGTGGGTGTGTGTGTGTGTGTGTGGGTGTGTGGGTGTGTGTGTGTGTGTGTGGGTGTGTGGGTGTGTGTGTGTGTGTGTGGGTGTGTGGGTGTGTGTGTGTGTGTGTGGGTGTGTGGGTGTGTGTGTGTGTGTGTGGGTGTGTGTGTGTGTGTGTGTAAAAGATCCTAATTCAAGAGTTTTTGTTTGATTAGAAACGTGTCTTAGAATGATTGTGATTATTGCTTATATCTGCAGAATCACTTTCAGGCCCAAACAGCAGGGGGTGCATTGATCTTATGTTATGCTTGTTATCTTTAGAGATGCTCTTGTACTCAGCAGGACTATAGAGATTTAAATAGCAATATAAATGAGAGCTGTTCTTAAGAATATTGTAAGTAATGTGATTAGCTAAAAAAAACCCGACATAGTTCATGAAACAGTGTAGAAGAGAAAACACACTTGGAATATCTTTTCTTGTGTTTAGTTAGATTTATGTTTCTGGCTGAGTTTTGTCAGCTGAGGCCTAATTAACACCTATTTTTTTTATAAATGTAGCTGCATAATTCATCAGTGCTTTACTAATGAGACAGCACCCTTGCTTTTCATTAGCTTGCTTAGACACCATTGCAGATTGTACACAATAAAATTTACAAGAATTCTGTTATATGTCTGTAAACAAAATGATGCTGTGATTCAGTATCAACCTCTTATCTAGATATGAACAACAGACTATTCTATGCATTTATTAAAAATACTGATAAAGAGAGCCTTTTATATTATTTTTACATTTTACTCTTCTTGAAGATAGATGCTAAGAAAATCTTGCAAGAATCTAAACATCTGTTGGGGGTCAAAGAAACTGTCTGGAACACTTTCAAATCTAGCCTTGAATCATGAAAATAAAAAGCTTAAGGAAATGTTCCCGTGGGGAAAATGAGGACTGAAATTTAATTTTAAAGGTTGTTTAAGAAAAACTGGTTAACTCACAATGATAACAAAACACATTACCAACTTCAGTTGTTCTCTGCGTAGGATTTAAAAGAGGATATTATTTTCTAGTAGCTAGTTTAAACATTACTTGATATAATTTATCTGGCTGTGCCCCTTATGCTAAAAGCATAGAGCTTTTCAATCTTTTTCCATATAACATTGACTGTTTGAAACACTCAAACTTCTGATGATGGTAAATTTTATGTTGCTCCATTTTAGCCGTTATGTTAATAGTAATTGAGTTCTTATATTTTCCAGAAGGTATAGTTCATGAAACCATATTTTTAGTCTTCTGAGTATTGTTATTCCACATATATTGTAAAATTAGACAACAGTGGTGATGGGCGCTTCAAATGGTAGCCAAGAGTAATTAATTCAGCTTTTCAGCTTTTATGGCAAGTCTATACTATGTGCTTAAATATTTACTGAGACCCATTTTCATTGATGTTTCTGCCTGAACCAGTGTGGAAAATTGTTTAAGCATTAGGATAAATCAGCTAAAGCTATTTTTAAC